TTAGATTTTTTTTTCTTAAACATAGTTATTTATCATGTCATATTTTCTTTCTCGAGAAGATCTTAGTTATTTTGCTTTTCGTTGATATCTTCAGGATCAACCATAAAATTTGCAATGTCGAGATATGTATCACTTATACCATCGAAAGAAGGCCCACCATGGATGAAGTTAGCTTCACCTTCTTTTCCTTTGGCCTTTTGTGATTCTTGATATAGATCAGCCAAATATTTTGGCGTACGACAGCTACATAACCAATGTCCTTTTATGCCGCATCTATAGCAAGTAGTATTATCATACTGCTTAATCATTTCTTGGCCATCTTCATTTCTTTGAATTTTATTACTCTTTTCACTGGTGAAGTCATTGGAGCGGTTTACCACGTCTATATCCCCGTCCATATCCATATCCTCGTCCACGACCTTGATTGTTACCACGGCCGCGTCCACGTCCTTGTTGCCAATTATTATCATTTGATGATGCAACATTCACTTCTTGGAGTGGAGCTGATCCAGTTGGACGAGATTGATGGTTTAACATCACGAGTTCATTATTTTGTTCTGCTACCAGCAGGACTTGCATTAACTCAGAATACTTCTTGTATTCTTTTGCCCGGTATTGTTGCTGAAAGATTACATTTTCAGGATGAACTGTTTGAAGAGTTTTTTTGATCAAATCGAAATCACTTAATTCAGTTTCACATAACGTCATTTTGGAAGTGATTCCAAACAGAGCAGAATTATATTCACTAACGCTTTTGTAATCTTGAAACCGGAGGTTCAACCACTCATGCCCAGCTGTTGGTAAGATCACATACTTTTGGTGATCAAACCTATCTTGGAGTGATTGCCAAAGATCTGCGGGATCTTCTTTTGTGATATGTTCATCTTTTAAACCATCATGGAATATGGTGGAATAAAAATATCATGGCCTTTGTCTTTTTCTCTTCCGAAGTCGTTTTCGACTTATCGATGGTATCAAGGAGCTGCATTCCGTTTAAATGCATCTTTGCAGCCACTGCCAATCTCATATAATTATTTCCTGATATATCAAAGGCAGCAATCTCGAAGTTTGCCAAATTTGACATGATAACTGAGTCGATATATAAAAAAAAATTATAACTTTAGTAATGTTTTGATTTAAAATTCTGATTTAACGAAACATGATAAAAACTTTAAAATTTTGTAAATATAATAATAACAGAATTGAAGGTAGGAGGCAAACCTTCTATATAGATTATGATAATAAACATAAGATAAGAAAGAACAATAATCTAAAACATATGATATTTGCCTTGGAGACAAAATATATTTTATGAAGGCATGATTTAAGGAAACATCTACCATATGATCATGAACCAACCATATATATATATATATATAAAGAAAATAGAGTATGGCATATACTTTGGATTGAATATGAATGTAAACATATTGAACACAAATAAAAACTTACCTCTTCGGTATAGGAACGGTTTGTGCTGATAACGTTTTGTGGACTATTAGCTAGTTATAGATAAAGATTAGTAAAATTTTGTGTTCTAAGAGATAAAAGAAAGATTGTGGAGAGAACAAAACTTTTCTTTATACTTGTATTTTGTGTTTCTTGTTAATGTCCATTCTCTTCATTACAACCATCTATTTATAGATATATAGATGAAGAGTTAGAACGAAATCAAGAGATGTGTAATGGTGATTAAGATATCACCTCTTTTTAATATAAAGATTAGTGTCCAATCAATATAACAAGTGTCCAAGGAAGTGTAAGAAGATGACAAATAATAATATGATAGATAATCACACATTTTTCTTAACAGTTTTTCTTTTTTTTCTCCACTTCATGTGTTGACTAAGAGCATCTCCAACCTAGACCCTTATTTTAAGGATGTTAAATCCCTAAAATGAGGGTTTTAATGTGCATTGCTACAATGGTAAAACTTCAAATCTATTTTAAAGAAAGCTTGTATTTTACATTATGGTCCTCAATATCCATAATTATTAACTATAATGATAGAACTTTTATATATAAATATAGAACACATAAAAAATATATATATATAAAAAAATTACATAATAACAGAAAATTACATATAAAATAGAAAACAAAACACACACAAATCAAATTATAAAATTACATGAAAAAAATTCTTGATTTATTTTGTGTAATATTTATATATTTATGTAGCTTTAATTTCTTGTGTTGAATTACTTTGTATGTCTTGATGTATTTTTATTATGTTTATTTATAAGAATGTTATGTAATATTTCTTTTTTAATGGTAATTTTAATTTTAAAATTTAAGTATTTATTTGAATTTTATTAATGATATTTAAATTTATAATGATATATTTATATTTAAAAGATATCTAATTATATGAACTAAAATGAAAAGAAAAATAAAATGTAAGTTTATTGATAAGATATATAATTGTAAGGATTAAAAAGTAAAGTAAACAGTGTTTTAAAGGTCTGAATAGTGGATCCTCAAATTTGAGGTTTTACTATTCAAAACCTCAAATTTTGAAGATTTGGTGGTTGGGTTGGAGCACAAAAAACCTTATATTTAAGGGTTTAAAGAGCATCTCCAACAAGGCCCCTTATATTAAAGGGAGCTGACCCTCAAAATAAAAGTTTGAAGGTGAACTGCTCCAACAAGGACCCTTAAATTTATCCTTAAAAGTATTTAAATATTACATACTAATCCTCAACATAAACAATAATGAAATAATATGATAAAAATAATATAATAGATACAAAACATACTTTAAACTAAAATGTTACATAATATATTAATAAATAAAACATTACATGATAATATAAATAAATAACAATAATACATTAATAAATTAAATAATAAAATTCCATATAAAATAACAAATTATTAAAGAAAATTATTTTCATAATGCTCCTATATATGATCAATCAATGCATTTCGAAGTGATAAATGAGTTTCTTTGTTTTTTTATCTGTAGATTACGAGTTAAAAATTGTTGAAATCGGATATTTTCGTTTACTGCTATTTCAACTGTTGTTTATGGTGCTGATCTCGCTTCTCTAATCGGCGCATTGCCATAACGTTCATCCTTGATAATCATGTTATGCATTATAATGTTTTGGTGAATTTGGAGATTCTTGATCAAGTTGACCTAAATATTAGTATAGTAGTGTAATTTTATTTTGTAAAATATTTTGTATGTTTGTGACTTTATTATCATGTAAAAAATTATTATTATAGTGTAATTTTATATTTTGCTATAATTTGTTTAATGTAATATTATTGTTATATGAAATTTGTTTTTGTGTTATATAATATTTTTATTTTAAATTATGAATTAAAATTTAATATTTATTTATTTTAATATATAACAGCTAAGTTTATAATGGTATATTTGAATTTTTTTAAGTATATAATTATGTGGACTAAAGTAAAAAAGATAAGAAAATTATTTGACTATTTGTAAGATATATGGATTACAATGACTAAAATGAAAAATAAAAAGTTTTTTAAGTAGATGAACAGTACCCCCTTATATTTGAAGGGTCACTATTCAACCTTTTAAAAAATAAGGATTTGAAGGTCTGTTGACCAAAACCCCTTAAAAAATAAGGATTTAAGGGTCTGTTGGAGATGCTCTAAAGATTGGATTAGAGATGCTCTTCGCTTTCAATAGATTGAGAATCTTCGCTTTCAATAGATTGAGAAAAGATTCATTGGTTCACCTCATCCCAAATTTGATCTAACATTCCCATCTCATTCTTCACAAGTTTTGGGTTTTGTAAATATTTTTTATTTATATAAATTTTATATTTCTAAAACAAACAGAAACCATACCAATAAATAATTAATAATATTAATAATAATTTTGGGTATGAAAATAAAGGTTAAATGTGGCGCAGGTGATTTGAGAGAGAGAAAGAAAGATGAGCCGCCATTTTGCTTAGCCCGATGTCTGTTTCTCCAGACAAACACCCTTCCTTCTCATCAGTCAACAACCATATTTTTTGTTTTGGTTTTAATATATACATATATATATATATATATACTTTTTTATATAAAAGTCTTTCTAAAGAGATTGATCAGTTCCTCCTTTTGTTTTCTTCATAAAAACTAGGCCTAGGCAAAAAACCCAGATCCGAATATCCGAACCGGAACTGAAATGGAGGTACCGAATCCGAACCGAAATTTTTAAAAATATCTGATGGATCTTAAACTCTTATACCTGAAGAACCGGAACCGAACTAGTACCGAACCGATAACCGATTGGATATCCGAATTATCCAAAGTATAATTATATATCCTTCTAAATATTAGTTTTTTTTTGATATTTTTGATATTTGGTATATATTTCTGGTTTTACTGATATATTTTCTTTATTTTTGGGATTTTTGGGTATATTTTTAAGTTTTGATATATATATTTTTGAATTTTTGTTATTAAAAAAGTGTGAGTCGAATTAAAAATTTGAGGCAAAAGATCCGGATCCGATTATCCGAACCGGAACCGAACCGAAATAAAGGTACCGAACCCAAACCGAAATTTATAAAAATATCCGATAGATCCTAACTTTCTCTACTCGAAATATCCGGAACCGTTCCGAACCGAAACCAAACCGAATATCCGAATGTCCAGGCCTAATAAAAACACTCCGAAAGAAAACTACATAGCTGCCTAGCTGGTTCAAAAAAAAAACCTATAGATAGTAAGCTACAATTACTTCTATTTACTGCATATCATGAACAAATTTATCTCCAAAGAAAATATATTACCATCTCTCGAAATATTCGAAACGAACCTTTACTACCGAAGCTAAATTAGTAGGTTAAAAAGCTACCAAAATTATTAAAACGGACAAAAGTTGACTAGGCTGATGGTCAAATCCTCCTAATTCACTTCTACATTTTAGGTTTCCAACCTTCACATATGAAGCAAAAAAAAAAGTTTTGAATTTTTTTTTTTTTTTTTGGTTAACGAGTTTCTATAAAATCAAGAAAACAAAATACTAGCTAATACGACGATGAACCGGCAGACTGAACCTGGAGAAGGTGGTGGAAACAATCGGCTGCGGTCGGTCGGTTCTCTTGGTTTGGCTCCAAACACTTCCCTTGAAGCTCTCTCAGCATCTTTGGCACATTACTTAACCCACAAGTCTTTATCATATAACCCACTCCCCACACATCCACTTTCACCGCATGCAATCCTCTCTCCATCTCCGGTGCGTATCTCCCACGCTCCTCCTCCTCCTCCTCCTTCTCCTTGGCTTCACGGCGGTGCGGGTTAAGCTGCGGCGACTCAGCCGCTTCCTCAAACCCACAAACAATCCATTCCACGTCCGATGTTTCACTTCTCATTACATTATCCCATCCCATGTCACGATGCATGAAGGAAAGGTCGTGAAGCGCAACGAGCGCTCTCGCCACACACATCAGCGACTCGATGAGCTGGTCAACGTTACGAGGTTTGACTCTTATCCCACGTGGCTTAAAACTCAACGAGAGATCCTTCTCGCTTGACCTATGCAAATGCTCCGCGTGTGGAACTCTTTGGTCGAGAAAATCGTAGATTCCTTTCACTCCACTCCATTTTCTCTTGCTTGAGTAGTACTTAGTCACCGTGTGAGGCGTTATCTCAGTCACGTAATCTCCATGATCGATTCTCTCGAAGTCGTTGTAACATAAATGCATCGTAGTGCACCGATCTGCAAGCAAAGGTAAAAGAGAAGCGAGACGGTAACAAGGAACCAAGGCCTTGATTCGATCGGACGGTGATGAGATGTCGAACGAATAAAGATCGGTGCAGATGACTCTATCTTGCGAAGAACGGCTCAAAGCGCAGAATGTTACGGTGAGCCCTATTGCGTGGTATCCAAGAATGTATGGAATATCGTTGTGCGACCAAAGAATCTTCTCGACCAATAGAGAAGAAGGATCAGCTGCACATTCTCGTACCTTATAAGTCTCTTCTCCTCTCCATATTCCAAATCCTTTTACGTATCCCATCACGTTTGGCCATTGGTCTTGAACGTTTTCAACGCAAGAAGATGAATCCGGTTTACGCAAAACCACCATTTCACAAAACTTTGAAACCATCCGGTTAATGCAGTCATCCCACAGCGGGATCAGCGAGTCTTTGCTCGAGATGACGAAACGGTTTTTAGGGTTTAAGCGGAACATTATGGGGCTGATGATATCATATGTGATTGCTCTACAATCTAGTAGCTCCGTGGAGGAAGTGGAGAAGAAGAGCTCTTTCCCGGGTGGCAAGTCTTTGTAGACATCTCGCCTGAGGGGAAACCGGAGAGTTCCCGGCGGTGGTTGTTGAAGATAATGTGCGAGCTCAAATAAGCTCGGAAGATTTAAAGCCGGCACACGCAATTTACTCAAGTAATGCTCCGATGGGTCTTGGAACTCCAATGTTGATATTGCTGTAATAGCATTAGTTCACATGTTATTAATAATATTAGATATAAATAATGATAATTTAACAAATTTTAAATCTATGAGATTAGAAACAAATTTACATTTATAAATGGGTTCTGAGAGTGGAAGCTGAGCTCGATCAAACAAACCTGCCATATTAACTCAAAAAAAGGCAAACATACGAATAATAAGATTAGAGTGTTGAACTGATTTTTCTCTTTAGTTTTCTATACATTATCTATAACTTTAGGTTTATTAATCAAAACAAGCCTGCCCCACTAAAGGGTTATGAAACACTCTAGAGAGTTTATATTTAATTGTCCCCAATCATCTTGTTTGTTTCTCACTAAGGTTTATTCTTTACATTTTACTCAGCTCTATATGATTAGAAACTTGCATTAGTAAATTTACTCTTTACTTGTGTATATCAATCATCATTGGAGTTATGCATAACATTTCATCGCTCTATAAGAATAGAGAGGTTCATTGCGTTGATTTCCTCTTTAATTAATTTTTATAAAATAGACACTAAATTAGGAATGTATGTGTGTGTGTGTTACCGGAAGGTGAAGGAGCAGATGATGAAGTTGACTTTTGTCTTCCAAAGACTTTAAGATGTTGACCAGAAATGAATTTATCCAAAGAAAATCCCTTGAGAGGTCCCTCTTCAAAAGATTCCATTGTACAAGCCACCATGGAATCATCCAAGTAGGTGAGCTCATCTGCGTTCAAGAAGCTCGACCCACTAACCCTAATTCTCCCATAATCAACCTCTCCTTCCTCAGCCCACAAGTTAACCGATTCCTCCCAAGTTAACCGGATTTTCCCAACACGGCGAAGATCTTTTAGCGAAGAAGACGAAGAGGAAGAAGATGGGATCGTCTCGGAAGAAGGATTGTAGTATAGTGATTTATTAGAGAATAAACCTGATCCTCTAGCAATGTTGTGTGAATACGGATATTGTGAATGATGATCATCTCCAACTATTGTTAATGCTAAGCTCTTCCCTCTTCCTACAAAATACATAATTAATTTTGTTTTGTTAGATAAAAAGTACATAACTAATTTTGCTGAAACATCAAAAAGAAAAAGAATAACAAAACAAGTCATAATCTTAGACGACTTCAAGTTCCTTCAACTCTCATCAATAAGACAAATAAACAGTCATACCAATCACAGACAACCAAAATAAATAACATAATCAAATACGCAGTATGGTTTTATATGACTATTAAATAACACTGAACTTTTAGACAAGTCAATGAATAATAAATAAAACTAAAAACGTTATAGAAGTAAAATAAAATATAATTTTACCTATGGAAGGTATAGGATAATTATCAATATCCTCGTTGTTTCTTGAAGTCATCAACGGTGGATGAAGAAGATGAGGAGGAAGCTCCTCAACAGACGGAGGCGTTAAGGTAACATCCGTCGTAGCTCCGCCGCTACCACGGCGGCTTAAAGTCGGAGCTCTGACACGTGGACCCATGAAAAGAGCCAATTCTTGATACACTTCTTCATCAAAAGACGCGGGAAGTCGATGTTGTTTCCTCTCGTAAGGAGAGAGCCTAAAGTAACTCTTACCGAATTTGTCTTTATCTCCACCTTTCTCCCACTCGAACACTTTCCTAAACTCGCCAAGCATGTTGTCCCATTTCGTACCGGCGATCTTCGAATCCCGGTTTATACCGTGCCGGTTTAGAAACTCGGCTACTTCCCTGTCTTTTTCCGCTCGGGTCTTCCCTCTTCCCTCGCCCGACCCGGATCCGGATCCAGACCCGGTTCCTTGGTTTTGGTACTGGACCCTCCAGGCTCTTGCTAGCCAAAGCATCTCGTTTGGTTTCCACACGGGGCTCACGTATTTACCTTTTCTGAATTTATGCTGAAACGACTCCGTTTCTTGTGGTTGTTGTTTCTCGGTGTTGGTAGCTTCTTGACCCGGCGGGGAAGATCCGGCGGTTTCGGTGGATGAAGCTGTTACAATGGCGGTGGAAGGAGAGAGTGATGTGGCGGTGGTTTGTACGGTGGAAGGAGACGGTAAGGCTTTCCATTGAGGTGGAGAGAGAGCACCGGAAGTGGCGAAGCGTGGTCGTTTTGAGATGACCGGAGCTCCGGGAGAGGAGACGGTGGGGATGAAGATCGGAGATTGGTGGTGGTAATGGTGGTGGAGGAGTGATGGGTTTGGTGTTTGGTTATCAAGTGAAGAATCTTTAGGTGAGGAGATTTGATTCGGTGATGGTTTTGTAGCATCTCCTTTTGTTGTCTCACCCATTTCAAGAAGCACTCAAATTAAAGAGAAAATTTAAAATAGCCCAAAATGAGTTTTTATTATTTTAAAAAACAAAATGAGAGAAGGGAACAAGAAGAACCAGAGAAACGATTTTGTTTTGATCTTTTGAGGTTTAGTTTCTCTGGCTTTGGGGTTTATGAAGAGAGATGAGTCATATGACTATTAGGGTTTTTTTTTAGCTTTTTGGTGGGTTTTTGCTTTTTGCAGAAAATTGAAAACGAGTACTGATTGATGTTAAAACGGGGGAAAAATATTGAAAACAAGTATAATAGAGATACATATTAAAAATTATAATAACAATATAGAACCATGTTTCTCCTGGTCATTCACCAAAAAAAAAAAATATAGAACCATGTTTAAAAAGTAGCTATGTCTTTTCATCCAATCACACATACCACCATGTGTTGATGATACGCGTTGCAAGTGTAATTCGGTTCTTTCTTCTCGTGGATACTCTTCTCAGAAATTGTTTCTTCTTCTTTTTGTGTGCAACAAAGATTCTCTCTTTGTTGTTGAATATTTTAGATACCTAATATGTTGTCATATAGTAAAGAAAGAATTCAGGCATTACACTCAAATAATTCACTATTTTATGTGATATTTGACAAGAAAATTAGGAATACCTATTTACTTATTTATATAGAAATGTCCTCATCCCTTTTTCATATTTTTTTTTTCTTTTATTCTAAAAACCGCAATGGGCTTTGTTTCCGGCAAAGATCGGGGTCGGTCCTCAGTCTTAGATTATATGCATTTGCGTTTAGTATATGTTTTTCCTTAATGAATCTCTATTTAAAACAATAAGTTGCTAATTTGGAATGTAAACGTCAAACACAACATGAAGGAAATATACCAAGATAAGCTTAAATTGAAGAAAAGAAGAAAAATAAGGGCTTCTTAAAATTTAGATGATCTCAAAAACATATGACCGACACAATAGATGAGACTTTTTCAAGAAATATATAACATTGTGATGAACATACATACATTCAGGTAAACTCAAGCAAATCAAATATGGTATTGGTTAAAATTAAGGAGCACTTAATTAATGTATACAACTCCCATCTCCCTTCTATTTGTAATAAGAAGTTTAACTATATTGTATGGATATTTACAGACATTAATCAACAAAAGCATAATTTGTTTTGAATAAAAGGAGATGCCTGTGGAACCTGGCAATGAATAAAGCGCATCAGTTTTGGCTAATATAACTACACAATTTTTCTTAACGTTGATGTTTGATGTTTGATTTTGACAACTAGAAAAAGGTAAGAGAGTCTCATCATTGTCCTTAAGACTGCAAACGCGGCGTAAGAATTCATTTCACTGCTTTTATTATTTTGTTTTGACATTGTACTGTTCTTTTTAAATTAATATATTTTCACCATTTTTTAATTTTTAATCATGGATAATATTTTTTTCATGATCAATAAGCTTGGAACGAAGTCGGATATCCGGACCGGATCCAGATCCGGATCCGGATCCAGATCCACCAGATAATCAATTTTACTATCCGGATTCAGATCCGAAAATTCTGGATATCCGGTCTAGATATCCAGTTTGAACCGAATATTTTCGGATATCCGACCGGATATCTAGTTTTGTTGATATAAAAAAAATCTTTAATTTTTAAAAATTATAATGAGATAACATAGATAATTAAAATGTATTATCATAGCAAGTTACAAATAACAAATATAAAAAAGCACTCAAATAGCATAAAATTTAAAAGTTTATATAGAAAAACAGAAAATAGTAATAGAAAAGTTAATTTATCTTCTTATTCATATTCTATCCATTTTCATGTTCTTGTCTCACAATCTAAAATAGAAAATTATCATATAAATTTCAATCATATGTAAAGGAGTTAAACCAAAAACAATTTAAAGTTAATTTTTAAAAATGAATAAATATTATTAAAAATAAATAAATATTTAACAAACGGATAACGGATATCCGGTTTCAAAATTTTCTAGTATCCGAATTCGTATCTGAAATAAACGAATACTTAATTTCACTATCCGAATCTGGATCCGAACTACACGAATATTCGGCTTTTATGGATCAGATAGATCGGATACCGGATCGATACCGAATACCGGATAATAATTCTAGCCCTATCTTCAACTAGCAAAGAAACAAATTAAAAAATGAAAAACAGAAAAGAATAATTAATACCGGAGGAAGAAAGGACTGAGAGTGTGTGTTTGTGCGATAAAAGGGAGAGAAGAGGAGAGATGTGGACACATCGGTTCCATGCTTCTGCTCCATTGACTCTCATGACAGTTTTGCCTTTTCCGAGCTATCTTTTTAACTTAATTTTTTATTATTTCTTATCAAAGTGTAGCATTACTAAAAATACTTGAACTATTCAATATATTTTTTACTAGAAGTAGTTAAAACATATATCGTTTTACCGTATATTGTGTTGTCCAGCTCAACCCCACTCACTAAAGCAAGTAAACTAAAGCAAGTAAGCTTACTTAACTCACTTTAAATATTTCCTAATTTGTTGATTCACTTTAAATATTTCCTAATTTGATATATACTGATTTTAAACTCTCTATGTTTTGGTTTAATATTCAGGTTCAAAATATTTTAATTCAGTAAATGTTTTTAAAATCGAGTATAATAGTAGACTATGAAATCAATTTAACCTTACTTAAGCTGTAATCTAGCAAATAATTTATGTATTATAGATATCATGTGACAATTATAAATCAATATTGAGCTGAGTAGCTATAGTATTCTAATAACTCAACAAAGTTGGTTCACCAAACTAAATGAATTTAAACATACAAATTTTACATGGCAAACACCGAATTCAACCAAGTCAAACCATGAGAAATCATATGAGTAAACAACACTTTTTGAAATCTTATTCTATTCGGGATAGATTCTCAAAATGTGACATTTATAATACATAAATTACCTGCTAGATCGTGGCTCATGTCTGGTTATACTTATCTCTAGAACCGGTTAATAACTTAATATACATCCAATATTTTCATATACAGTAAAACCTCTATAAATTAATAATATTGGGACCACAAAATTTTATTAATTTATCGTGGTATTAATTTATCTATAAATTAATAATTATTAATTTATAGAGGAAAATTATTTTTTGCCCATCTTCTTCTTAAATTTTCTCTCAAATGATGTTATATTTAAGAATATAAACTTATATGCTTATAAAATGACATATTAAAAATTTAAAATTATGATTACTAATCATAGTAATCGCTATTATCTTTGATGTTGGTGCTGAAATTAAAGATAATACCATAATATATTTCAAAATAATTATGCGTAAGAAAATTAATTATCACATCTAAATTTTTTCTCAAATTTTGAATGGAGATAAAAAAACAACATTACAAGCTATTAACATAAATAAATAAAGAGTTGATTTTCTATAAAATTTCAAACTTAAATAAAAATAAACAACACATTAAACATATTCTAATATATTATATCTTACCTATATATATATATATGAATTTATATAAATAGTAATTTATGTTTATGTTGGGACTATATATTTACATAGGAATTTCAAAAAAAATATTATCTTATTATCTTATCGAATTTGATGGATTTTTACATTGGCCCAATTCGGGACCAGAGAAATTTATTAATTTATAGTGATTATTAATTTATCGAGTATTAATTTATAGAGGTTTTACTGTAGTTTGGTAATCGCGATTCGAGGAAAATATTAGTCAGAGGTTGTGGTTTAGATTGTGAAAGAAAAATTAGACGGTGGAAACATGCTTCACATGCCGTAGAATCAAAAGGGGATTATCATCTCCTTTGATTCTATTTATGTGATTATGTCCGGCTGAACGTTGACTTACCGGGCTTGATTTTGATCTATATGTTGCACTTTTACTATAATTTGCAAGCAAACTTATGGCAATAATTTAATAACTTGAATATAATAATGCCTTGAGGCCGGGGAACTGTAATGGGGCTAAGAAAATAGAGTACGATGTCTTAAATTTTACAAACCGTTAAATAACACAGAAAGACAAGTAAAAAATGATGGGCACGATCACCAAACCATTAAAACTCATCTCTCTATACTATATCTCCAAAATTAAAAGTTTAAAAAACCCTAGGTTTCCTCTCTCTTTCTCTCCTCCTATATATATGCTTCTCTCTCTCTAGGTCGGCTGCTGCTCACCTAATTAACAGACCATACACAAACAATCTCTCTCTTCACTTTTCTTGTCACGAAATTTTCAATGTGTTATATGCATGAAATTAATTTATTGTTTCCCTAAAAGGGCACATACACATGCTCATGCCTCATCAATGGAGGTAAAATTAGCTTTTCTTGTTTTTACATTTGTAGAAATGATTTGTCTTTGTTTCCATATCTATTTATAGAGAGGCATCACTTTCGTAGTTCTATCTTCTCAAACCTCGATAACTGATACCATCTCAACAAGTTTTTTTTCCTCTATTTATTTATTTAGATTTAGAGAATGAATTTCGGCTTAAAAATCATATAGACACATATTGTAAACGGCATCTTAGAAAAGTGAAGGAGGGCGTCAAAAAAAAAGAAGAAGAAAAAAGTGGCGGGGAAGATCTATATGGTCTGCTTTATGGAGAATATTTAATCATGACTACATAATATGCATGCTTATAAAATGATAACATTAATAGCTTGAATTGCTTTTATAGGCATACGATTTATTTATTTTCACATTCTCATTATATACTAGATGCATTTTGGGATTCGGTGCTTTTACCCGAAAGCTGATCTTTTATTCTACAAGCCCTTCGACCTTTTTCGTAATTTGAAGATTCTCCTCATTTTTAAGATCGTCATTTGAGATCCTGATTGTCCGAACATGGATTCCGTGTAAGAAAGTGAGAGACAGTGATGAGACCAAACTAATAATGTTTTTTTTTTATTGCACTTGTGGATGGAGCAGCCAAACAATAGTCGTCTCAATCGTAATGAAAAT